CTCGTTAGTTAGATTAGATCTGTAAGGTGATTGTTGTCTAGAGTGATTATAGTTATTTGGAAGTGGTTTTCCTGAACTATTATTACTACGGATGGTTTTTGTGGGGTAAATTTTGATATTTTTTCTTGTATTGAAAAAAAAGATTTATTCAGTTTTCTATGTTTTTGTGGTTTATTCTGATTATCTTTTTTTTGTCTACATTCGGCAATGCTGTGTCCATATCTTCGGCAATAATTGAACCTTTTTTTGAAGGATAGTTAAATTTTAAAGTTTGGATTTTTTTCGTAGATGTTTAAGATTTGAGTGATTTTTTCAGATAAATCTGTATCGGAGTCATGAATAGGACTTATTTGCGAAGTAGTGGTTTGGATGTTGTTTACGTATTGTAACTTTAAATTTTCTGTTTCCTCCAATTTCATTGTGATTTCTGCTTGTTCTTGTTTATCTACTAGTTTTCTAAGGTCTAAATGAGGTTATTGGATTGAGAAAAGATGTGATGCTCTCTTTTTTAGACCAAGAAGTTGCACGAGTCTAGCCGGCTGAAAATAAGATAGCGTGACGAACAGACGGCGTACTTTATCTGAAATTACTCTATGAGAAAGCTTCCTCTGAAATCAAATATTCACTTTTAAAATTTTGGAACATCTTGTAATAATTTGCCAAATGGAGATGAACGTTATTTGAAAGATAATAGCTCTGAGATCACTAAAGTGACGGAAAGGAGCTATGACACATGGTATTTTCTCGCCCGATTTGGAGTACCCCACAGAAAACTCGTAGAAGGGCTAAAAGGGTTCTATAATAAGACCTTAGTAGTCCGAATTTCCATTCCAAAAAACTAAAAGTTGATTGTGTCTCGGATCAATTGACCCGAGTTTTGGTTTTCTAGACAAATTTCTAGACTAACGTTGTCTGTAAAAACCAAAAAAATCGGGTCAATTGTATCGTGACACAGTCAACTTTTATTTTTTTCGAATGGAAGTTCGGACTACAAGGGTCTTATTATAATACTAAAATATATATTTACACACACATAGAAAGTTTTTGATAAAGCTTGAATTACGGCAGAGAGAATGTTCACAGATTTTGCTCGAAAAACGAAAAACACGCAAGGTTACTGAATTTTTGTTCCGACTTTTTAAGAAAGCGGAATATTCATGCTAGGTGTGGTTTTTTTATTAGGTCAATTTTCGCCGATCGAAATAATAGTTTTCAACAAAAGTTTTAATACCCCATTGAAGATATCGGCTTCTTGAGCTCAAATTTGAAAAGATATTTAACCTCCGATTATTTTTTGTAAAGTTCTTTGGTTTTGAAAATTGCCAAAATGTTCATGTTCCAGACTAAATTATGCGCGTTTTGAAGAGTTTATTTATAATGCTGAGAGCGTAACGTGAATTATTTATGCGCCGCGAGTTATCCCGCAAAACAAAATTGTTCCAAACTGAATTGAGGCTAGGTAATTGGTCGTATTTTTTTTGTACGACTCAAACTTTCACGCTTTGATATTGGCCAAAATTTAATTAGTTTTCAATAATTTTTTTCCACAAAAACTATTTGAGATGAATTAAGGCCTTTGCCATGATAAACGAGCAGTCTTGTTCAGTTTCACAGTCATTTAAAACTAAGCGCACACGAAGTTAGACTGGAAAACTCCAGCTGAAATGCGAGAAGCTAAACTTTGAAACCGACCACAGTGTCTTCCACCATTACGAGGGCCAATTTTCCTTTATGTACCTGGACTTCCCACACAAATCACTAAACATGTTCAAATTTTGTCGGAACGATCAAAGAGATTGAAAGAACAAAAGAAGAAGAAAGAGAGCGTCCTTGTTGCGGAATTTGCTTACAAATCATAAAATACACAACTTGGCCCCGTAATGACAACTATCCACAAACCAAAACATTTAGATGTTTGCTTGCACACGTCTTTGAAGGTAGTAAATGTAAAAGTCAAGTGTTTCAGATTTTGCAGTAGAAACCAACAGTTAATGATTGTTTCTACTTGAGAAAATTTTGTCCAATGAAAACACGAGTCCTTTTTGATAATTAGTCGTGAGGAATAATGCCCTCTTAACTATCCCCATAGAGTACTTTTCTCTAATTTAGTCGTTTCTTTTCGCAAAAACTTGCGAAAATTTTCCTAAAAAGCTGAGCAATGTTATTTCTTACAAAGTTCTTGTAATTTTTTGCAACTTTATTGAAAACTTGAGCACCCATTTTTAGCAAAGTTGCTGAGTTAGGCGCCTCTTTTTGTTTACAATTTTTGAGCTGCGAAATATACCCGCATCCAGTTTCAAGCGTCAATAATCGATTATATGACGATTTAAGTACCAGTCTCAATAAAATTGAAAAACAATCGATTTAAATCATTTAATAACCGATTATAATCTCTCTTTTTAGAATCAAATTATAATTAGTTATAATCCATTGGAATCGATAATTTTTTCGTTTATCTTTTGATACAATTATAATCCCATTAGTTTTATTCAAATTTCTATTTCATTAGTTTTGCACAAAAATCCATTATAATCGATTATAATTGATTATAACCCCTTTTGTTTGACCATTTTTGGCTTCGAAGTTGCATCTAATTTGCTTATATTTTATGCTTTTTGTTGACGTTGGTTTCTATGAAAAATAAGAAAAAATCTTTTAAACTTTTCCAATTAATTCAAATTTAAAAGTTTTTTTTTCATTTCTTTCCCATTAGAGTTGTTTTGTGATGCATATTTTAAGCTTCTTTAAACACCAAAACATCAGCAAATTGATTTAGTTTTGTTTTTGATTCGGAAACTTTGTTTTTCATCTACCGCGAGAACCTTTCCACTCATTTGAAAGGATCTCTATGAAAATTTTGTTTCGTGGTAAAACTTTGTGTTCAGATGAACCAAAGTGTTCAAGAGATCCCTCTTTTAGAAATTTTCTTATTGACACAAAAACAATAACCCATAAGATATAATTCGAATACAGGAAAATTTCGGCAAAATAAGAGATTATAATCGATTATAATCGATTATAATCGTCTATAATTAATTTTAAAGCTTTTTAGTAAGAATTATTATCAATTGTAATCGATTATAAGAGATTATAATCTCTTGGAAAATATCAGGATTATAATCAATTATAAATCCCTCAAAGACCTATTTTTGGTAATTATAATTGATTATAATTGTCAAAAAATCATCATAATAATCCGTTATAATCGATTCCTTACGCCTAAACTTGGATGCGGGTATCTGTATAGGGCGAAAGTTTTGACCAATAAAAGTCAAAAACTCAAAATTTAAACCGTTGGAAGTTGTGATAAATGGTTAAATTCATATAAAACAGTTCTGGCTGAATTATCAGTTTGGCGCTCAACGGATCACGTTAATTCTACACACCTTGAATATTCACAAAATCGTACCATTATAAGGCAACTTAACACATGTTACAACAAGCGTTGAATTGCATCTTATAGCTTTGATTATTTTTTATTTACAATCAGCTCTTGTGGCTAAACGGTTAGTGGTCAGAAATAAGATCAGGAAAGTAGAATTTGTAGAAAAATTCATTTTTTTAAAAAAAATTTCAAAAGAACTTAAAATGCAATGCAATATGAGCTCACATGCAGTCTTCGACTTCCAAACAAAGAGGCAAAAAATTTATGCATCCGGTGATTTTGTATTCAGTCAATATTTCAATAAAGTTTGCCTTTGGCCAGTTTTTGGTTGGGTTATGCGGTTAAGTTATGTGGGTTTGAAGCTTGCTGATTTAGGATATTTGACGCGCTCACATATTTTTTTAAACATGCATAAGCGGTGCAATAAATTGTTTAAATTGAGTTGAGATAAGTCATTGGGTTTTAATATTACGAACAGAGACGCTAAAAACAACCCTTTGAGTTTTACATATCATGCGGGGGTCAGAATGAAGAAAAAAGAAAAAAAAACAATTTTCATTGTCCCGTTTTTTTCAGTTTTTCAAAAAAAAGCTACGAGCAATCTTCTTTTGTTCACACATTGTTCATACCAAAATAAGTATGCAATAAAGCATGCAAAATTTTGTTCACTTGTTCATTCTAATACGTTTTAATCTAGTTAAAAACATCCAAAACAACTTCGTAAATCAAGTTTTCGTTAAAATTGAAAGGTTGAGACTGGCAAAAAGGTCAAAACCTTGTTTTTTATCAATGTTAAATTTTGCTGCTCTGACTTTGTGGTTGTATTCTAATTTTTTTTCGTCTTTTTTGTGTTCCACGTAAAATCAGTTACCGCAAAACATCAATGGATTGAATAATTCGTTTTAAAATCCTTGCAGTCGTGATTCGAACGACTGTATTTTTTTAAATTGCCCCAGTAGAGAAAAAGGTATCAAAAATTGAAAATTTAGTTTAATTAATGCTTTCGAGTTATAGGCTTTAATGCTAAGAAAATTGAATTTACTGAAGATAAAACTAAGATAAACCATTACGAAGATAAACTGTGTATTTTGTGAATTGTAAGCGAATTCCGCAACAAGGACGCTGCGTTTGTTCTTTTTTGTTCTTTCTTTTTCTTTGATCGTTCCGACAAAGCTTTAACATGTTTAAAGCTTTCTCTCTGAAGTCCAGGAACATACATACACAAAATTGTGCAACTATACAGTTTGGCCTCATAATGACATTTGAAAATATTTTAAAAGTTTTGTTTTAGACTTTTTTGTTTGTAATTCAATTTTTGAAGACAAATGCTGTCGAATAAGCCTAAGTTACTTATTTTCTCCAGGTTTGTATAGTTTTTTAATCAAACCGCGCACTGAAAACGACACTAACTTAAAGAAAAAAAGAGAAAAACATATATTTTTTAATTTTTCTTATTGAAGTGGTCGGCACAACAACCGACTATCGTTGTTAACGTTTTGTTAATAATTAGTTTTTTTTGGTGGGCACAACAACCGACTATCGTTGTTAACGTTTTGTTAATAATTAGTTTTTTTTTATTTAATTTCAACAAAACATGCATAGAAAACCAACTAACCGGCAAGTACTCTTGTACCATTTGAACACATTCTGCAGAGTATTCAGAGGGCAGGTCATTGCACCATTTTTCGACTGCCACCTCAGCCTCCCTGTGAGTTTCCTCATCACTGAAATATCCTTTCACGTATTTCATGAAGTTTTCACACTCCTCGCAGTTTTCCGTTCCTGATAGCTCTGGCCACTCGGGCATCTTGTCTGAAGATAAAAGGTGACCGAATTTGGCTGAGCCGAAAGTGTAGCCGTATTTGAGGGTGTCACAGACGTCGCCTCGCTCGCACCTCTAAAATATAAGAAAATCGTAAGCAGTCGTTTTCTTCTTGTTATTAGTTGCCTCGGAAGTTTCCCAAAAACTCCCTGATTATTATTTGTATACAAGTTTCTGGGCCGAGATGCTTGAATTCAATTCTGCACAGCTGGGTGCAGAAGGAAATTTCGAGGGGAGTATCTCAAAGTTTTATCAACCTTTTTTTGGTTATTTAAACTGATATTTCTTGCTGCCCCAAGACACTGTCGGAGCAGTCGCCAAAAATTGATGCAAATTTGCAGTTTTCATTGGTTATGCCATAGTGTTACTAGAATTAATAAGCTGAACAAATGAAACTTTCTGAATCATTTGTTTTTCATGCCGAGGATTGGCTTTTCTGTCGCTACCCAACTACATGCGATTCTAAGTGTTTCTAATTTAGGTCCAATTGTCATAAAAATTAGCATGCGGCTGCCATATGCAATTATTAGCATAATGCTTCTACAGGGTGTTTTTTTTTAAATTTTTTTCTCGTTTCACAAGTAGTTGGGTTATTGAAGTGATTTATTTTGCAGTAGGCAGCAAAAATTTGCCAAACTCTGATGATATAATTCATTGATTTGGATTGTTTTTTGTTCATGCATACTTTGCTACTTAATTAACTTTCAAGGCATTTTGTGCTGAACAATTTTTTTATAGAAACGAATTCAAAAATGGATAACATGAACTAAAATTTAAATTCCAAACTCGTTTTCTCAAATTCGGTTGTTTTTTGCCAAAAAATATGAGAACAAAAAACGCTTGGAGTCTTACCAGCTTTTTATGGTGCCATTTTTGCCAAATTTTGAACTAAAATTCGACCTATAAAACGGATCAATTCATAAGGTTCAACATTAACCAGGTAAACGGGGTCAGTTGTTGTTATTCTTACACTATTTGGTCCTTTTAACCTCCTTAATTTTGAACCAAACGAAATGATTCGTTTTTCCATAAAAAAGCTGGTATAACAAACTTTTTTTCTTCTCTTTATCCGGTTAGTTTAATTCAGCACTGAAGTAGGTTGCTAAGCACAAAAGGCAGTGAAAACCCATCAAATCGCGCAAAAAACATTCGTGAACAAAAAACAATCCAATTTAATGATTTATATCGTCAGAATTTGGCAAGTTTTTGCTGCCTACTGCATTAAAAAATCACTCCAATAACCCAAATGTTTGTGAAGTGAGAGAAGATTTACAAAAAACACCCTGTATACATCCTGTTAGAAAACACCCTGTATGGCAAAAGCAATGGCTAAACTGTAAATCTGTAGTTTATGTACAAAAAAGCATGTGGTATAAAACGGTAGAAGAGCCTTATTAACCTAATATCCCCCATTTAGGTATAAGTTTGACGTTCATTTTGCGCTCAAAAATAATCAGCTATTTTTTAACATAGTTTCAAAAACTTTCAAAAAACAATTGGAAAAGGTTTTTTTTTAAATCTTTTTTAAAATCACTATCAGTTTCAATAAATCAAAGAATTTTCCTTTATAATATATGTCAGCCAAATAATTAAAGCTGGAATATATATGAAATGAAAGCGTGAACTGCAAATGTTTTGCGGTCCTTAACTTGCTGACCATAAAAACTTCCTTGCAAATTGAGAAACTATTTTAGTTCCGGCTTTCGAAGAAAGAATGGAATATGATCGATCGATTAATTTTTTTTGTCAGACAAAATTTGGCTTTTTAACCAGTTCCCTATGAATGAAAATTTTACTAATGTCTGAAAAGTATTGATTTGTTGCTCAAAATAGAAAAGATAAAAAACCTGTGATATTCTTCCATAAATTTATGGTGGTTTAAAAACTGCGTGTGGCAGAATTAATTTCAAAACAATAATCTGAAAAAATTCAATTCGTTTTTTTTGTAATGTTTGTAGCACTGCTGGCTTTTTTCTCGCCATCCTCAGCTGCGACTTTTCACAAGTTTTTTTAATTCACAATGCCTAGTTTTTACCACTAAAAACTGATACACGGTGTCATTAGGCAAGGACATGCAATTTGTTTTTTGACTCTCAACTTTGTAAAATCCTTCTTTAAAGCATAAACTAATGCTCATGTGAGTTGGTACGGAGGGATTGCTGGGGGAGCTGAAGGAAAAACAGCCACTTTTTTCTTTGTTAAAGAGTTACTTATTCGTTGGACCTTAAGGGGCAATCGAACAATCAGGGCCTGATGAAAAAGTCAATTTTTAGAACTCAGATATACTTCAGGTGCAATAATGTCTCCTCATATATTCAAATCGGTCCTATTTTACCTTGAAATATTTCACTGTTCCACTTTTATGATCTTTACCAGATAAATTTTACTTGAATTTGCGTTAGCAGTTTTCAATTTTGTTGAAATTAATAGGTAATCATGGTAATTACTTAAATCACAAATAAACAAATATCCAGGTACATTATTAAGTCAGGAGCTTACGCCCTAAATTTTTTTGTCGCGGTTACCTTTGCTATGCTTCAGAAGCTCAAAACTTGGCTGGTTTCTCTATTCTGCCCTACGTTTGTATTCAAGATTTGAAAAACCAGTTTAATGTTGTCATAAAATAATAAAATTGGCGATCAAACTAATTTTCGTAAGCACAATAGATTATCATATCTTGGATCGCTCACATCGTAATATCACGTATTTAGCCATAACAACACGTAACACCGCTATATAAAAAACTTGACGGGGAAGTTGAAAAGGGCCTAAATTTTTTTTCGCAAAATGTAATTGTCAACCGTAGAACACAGAGTGAAGGCCTTTTGGGCTCTACTCTAGCTTTACCAGCCTTTAATTTTTTCGAGAAGTCGAGAAGTCGAGAAGCTTGACTAATGAAAAACAGTCTGGTTTTTTTCCTGTCCCCAACTCTCCGTAAAATGACAATAAAAAACTTACACAGAGTGAAACTGTTTACAAAACAATATGCTCATGATAAAGTCTGATACCATGCAACTGACATATGTTTTCATGCTTTTTTGAGCGGGAAGGTTTGTTCAGATTTCGTTCAAACTTTCAGTGCACGTCAAAGTTCCGTTCATCTTGCCACATACAAAAAATTCAACTTACTATCAAAAACAATGAACAGCTTAAAAGAAAAAGACACCAGAACACTGGTTGTCTGGTTCTACCATAGTCACAAGGTCGAGGGGAAAGTTTTTATCGTCGCCCAATTTGAGAAAATGGGTTTGAAGCGACAGCGAGCACATCGAATCATGAAAAGGAGAGGGAAAACATGCTGAGAAAGACTGATAGTAGCAGCAAGTCCGCCAAATTAGACGCTAAAACCCGGTAAACATTTGGAAAACTGTCCAAAAATCTCTCTGCTAAAATTGGTCAACAAACTTGATGTCTGTCAGTCAACATTTTATGGCATTCATTTTGCGCGAGAAAGTGCCAAAGTCAACAGAACTCGGCAAAATTCAAGCAGAAATAACGTTGTTCAAAGCTAGGCCATGAGAGCAAACTCGTCGGTAGAAGTTGCAATGGACGATGAAAATTCTTTTTTGTCTGAGTGGCAAAACTTCTCTGGAAAACTTGGTTTTAACAGCCAAAGCGTAACTGACACATCAGACGATGTGAAACTCATCGGAAACAATGATTTTTTTAACCAAAGTGATGGTATGGGTAGCATTTTGTCCCCTAGTCAACGCGAAGACTGTCATTTATGAATTATACTTATTCCACTCAATAAGCTTCTGTTGACGTTTATAAATTGTTTTTACCAACAAAAAACGGTGGTCTTCTGACCAGATTTGATGTCCAGCCACTATTCGAAAACAGTGACAGAATCGCCGAGGAGCAAGAATCTTAGTTTTGTGAATGAAAATGACAATCCCCAAATTATCCCCGAATAAGCCCACTTGACACGCCTGGAGTATTCATAAACTGAAGTTAAAGCCGGTGTCTGGAAAACCTAAATTATCAGCTAACAAGTGACTATACTATGACTAGAATCCTTGTGATAGCAACAGAAGTGCAAAAAGATGACTGCCACAAACTTCTTGAGGGCTTGAGGCCGATGACTTCTAAAAATAGTGACCTTATAAATTCACGAGATACAAAAGATTTAGATACCTTTTCTGTTAAAATTTGAACTCTGTAGTTTCTTTAGTTTTGTTAAATGTGATAACTTATTCGTTAAGACTTTAACCTCTGAGTTCTTACGTAACCACTACCGAGCTAAATTAACTTCTGCCAAAAGCGCAACGGCTTTTGGCAGAACTTGACACGATCACTAGCTGATGACACGTAAAAAATTGAGTGATCTGTAACTAATCTTTTATTCAATCTTGTACTCTGTCGCTGTTCACCATAACTTTACCCTTTAGTCTTTTTAGTCTAGTCTTAGATAAAAAGCCTACTTTAAAACAGTGGGGATCTTGATCAACACACCTTAACTAGTCTTAGTTTAAATTCCCGATAGCGCTCGGGCTACCCTTTTCTTCTAATTTTTTAAAATGGAGCAGTCAAACGAGCCGAACCTACGAAGACTAGAGTTTTTCTGGAACAACACATCGAATGATAATCAACACGACCGGGAAAATGGTCAGAAAAATTCCAAGTAACAATTATTGCTAAAAATTCGGTGGACATTGAAGACGTAATTAACCCGCCAGTGAGGCCCGAACTAGTATACCCTATCGCTAAACCAACGGAAACTTCCGATGATCAATCCCGTCGGGCAGAAAAAGACAAACGTCACCGATTAGTTATCCAAGCTCACAATGAAGAGCTGAGAAGGAGAAAGGCAGAAGATAACGCGAAATTCAACGGACTTTAAATCGGAGATATCGATAAGAAATTAAAGTCTTAACTATACCTGCCAATTGGAAGAGAAGGACAGAAATGCTTTTCACATAAAAATCCCAGGAAAAGAATACTGGAAATCAACTTTGCAGAATTCTGGGAATTAATGAAAACTACATTTACGGTATCTACAAACCTAATATACAAGAGATATAAATTTTTCGGTCGAAGACATAAAGATAATGAATCACTAGAAAAATTCCATG